CCCCAAAACCCCAAAACCCCAAAACCCCAAAACCCCAAAACCCCTCAGAAAAAATTCGGGTTGATATCCAGATTCCCGGAATAATAGGTTTTAACGATTGATGAGACTAGGAGAACATTGATGCAGTTAAGCCCCCTCATTGAACACAGGAGTTCACAAAGCTTTTGTTTAAGATAAAGTCTTTCTTTTTCAGAAAGATATGGGCCTTATTTTTATGAAAGCCTCATATATGACTTTATTAATTCGATTACTTTTTGAGTATCCTCTTCGGTCTCTATGGATGAAATGGTGTTAAAACAATTGAAGAGCTTGCCAAACTCAGATATCTCTCAGAATTTATAGAGCTTCTGGTAAGAGAACTTATAAAGAACCTCATCAACAAGTTGGCAACATGCCACCATATGTTTTGTTTCTGATGTTTTTGGAAGTGTTATCCTACCATCGGACAACATTTTATTTGAAGGTACGAGGACTGATCAGAGCTCCTAGATACGTAAAGTGAACATCCTCAAGACGATGGCTTCTGAATTTTTCACAATTGATAAATGCTTCAAGCTTCTCTTTGCTTAGGTTTTGCGTATCCTCTCTTTCTAACTCTAGAGGAAAAATATCTTTTTCATTTTCTCCGAGTCCTTCAGAAGAAGACCCCAAAAATTGAAGCCTAGTAAAGTCGTCGAATTCAGCTTGAAAGAACTTTCTGAATCTTCTTAAGATACTCTTCAACAGAACGTCCTTTCTCCTTCGAGATGGATCTTTATCGTCACTTAAACTGTCATTCTTTTTATAATTATTTTCTTCCATTTTTGGCAACTTTTTCAAAATCATTAATATGATTTATACCTTGGTTATCTCCAAATAAGGGAAGCTTGTCGACTCCTTTTGAAATTTCCTTGGAGGGTTCACTAGCCCTGCCCTCTGTTTTCTCTGTTCTGTGTTTAAATCGATCCAGTAAATAATTTCCAGTGATGGTGTTTTTCATATCGTCTTCATTCTCTTTGTTATTTTCTTCATCCCTACTAGGAGGCATCAGGCAGTCAGGTTCGGGTAAAAATCAATCTATTTTATTATCTCAGTTGAGAAAATCCAAATCAGGCTCCTCGTCCAAATTGAATTCTCAAAAATCTCCTCTAAAGCCTACTGGATCCAGCTCAAAAATTATGCTCATAAAAAATTGTTATTCCTTAACCATAGACTATGCCTGTTAAGGGGTTTTGGGGTTTTGGGGTTTTGGGGTTTTGGGGTTTTGGGGTTTTGGGG